AGCATACTGCCCCGCGCTGAGAACATAAAGAGCAGTGCTACACCCTTTTTTCACTTGTGCCTTTCAGGTGAACGACAGCCACTGACCGACAAGAACATAACCGACCCGGAAAACTTGGGCAAAAGCCTCGATCCTGTGTATCAATCCGTGAATCCGTCTCTAGGACTCTGACCTTGACGCGATTGCGTTCTGCGGATAGCTCTGTACCGTAGATGGAGTCGACTGTCGCGAAGCTGATTAGTTTGGCTTCTAGTATGTCGTGTTTTTCTACTTGACGAGGTATCTAGAAGTGGCATCCACTGGTATCAGCAAAGGTCGCCCTGCACTATCGAAATTCATGAATTACGCGCGCGTCGAAATGAGACCGCCGACGCTTTCCGATATTGGTCCTGCGGTTGCAGAGGCTACACAATTAATTAATGCAGCGAAGTCCGGAAGGTGGAAAGAAGTAACCGTCAAAGTAAGGCTATCATGCGTATCTCATTTATCTTCAGGATGGGCTGCTCAACGCCGTCGTTACCATCGAAGTTTTGGCATGGTTTTTCATCGGCGAGATCATTGGGCGTCGAAGTATTCTAGGTTACAGCAGGGTCCCCGGTTGTTATATTCAGTCGCACCTATGAGCGCCGCGGAGCTAAAACATTAGACATGCCTTGCTTTGCTCACCATTAGTAATTATTCGTAAAACATTTGTCTTTTTCTTTCCGTGGACCAGCCGCACGTTGTGGAAGAACGGGGACGTAAAGTACATCAGCCTTAAGTGGTCCGTTTGAAGATATCCACGCGTCAAGTATTCCACTGATCTGAGGATGATTAAACATGATGCCCGCTGGGCCGTTGCGTCAGTGATCGACGGAGTGACGGAGTCGTTCCACTCAGTCTAAGGTCACATGATACTTTGTCACCTTAGGCTTGTACAACCTTGTACAGGTTGTCGTACAATTCTCCGTAAATGAAAACTTAATAGAACACTCAGGCTGTTTGACTCTGCACTCTCAGAGTCGCAGGCTTCCTGTTAGCAAAACTATCATAACGGCTCATGTTTTATGCCCGTGGTCGTCCATATTCACCACCGTAGAGGACAAAGCACTGAAATGAAGTGTTGTCGAAATCTCGGTTAAATGTCGGATAGCGTACGGCATTCAGCTTAAGGATCCAACAAGCTACTTTACAGCTAATTTTCTCATACAAGATAGACCTTGCACAGCCTTAAGGACAGGTACAGCAACCTTGTATACCGTTTTGCGTCCACTCTCCAAAAGCTCTTTTGCGAACCATCGTGTTAGGTTTGTGCAGTAAACCCACAGTCATCCACTTCAACGAACACTATAGTTTTGGACCTCTAATTGAAGTCTGTAAATCGCTCTCTGTTTGGTGCTAATCGCGGACGGTTTGCTGATTATAGTCCTTTTAGTGACTGACTATCGGCGGGTCGTGGGCTGCAGTCCACTGCGCGAACGGGAAACAGCCTATTTGTATTGGCAGGATTTTGCTTTAGTCGGTAAGGGTCCAATACCGACGGTGTGTTCACCTCTCCACGTTCGTAGGTACTGTCACCAATAAACAGAACCTTGAAGTTGTGTGATGCCTTGTGCCCCGAATTGATCGGCTGAGTTATACTGACGATTGTCCTGTCATACGCACACCATACCGAATTGTTCAATGGATAGTTGTCAAACTAACAGCATGGCGCTTCGGGTTTGTCTCTTAAAAGTGTTGTAAATCATCTCTTAAATACTTGGATTTTCTAGTAACCCCGCGCCAACCACATCTGTGGTGAGGCCTTGGAGCCGAAGGATTTGGCTGGAGGTAATGTTCATCCGGCTCTGTATGCCCTGGCAGCATTCGAATCCCTGTACAGCCTTGGAATGTGCGGATGACAATAATTCTACGCCGTAGCCATGTCACTTTAATTAGCGCATGCAAAAAGAACAGGGAAATGAAGACGGATCATAGCTGTACTTCCTTTTTTCCTTCACATTCGCTGTTTTATGTTGCCCGTCCCCATGGAAACGCCATCCATGGACTCATCCGTAAGAACTTGCCGCTCAGTTCGCCTTACTTTTCCGAAACATCCACGGGTCGCAACCTTTTTTACACCCCAGTCAACAATCCGGTGTCCGGTCCATCTGGTCACCTTTGATGTTCGTACCTAGCTGGTCAATGTACCCTATTTACACTTGCACCGGACTGCATCTCCGTCGGTATGTTAACTGTCCGAATCTAGAGTTCAGAACTGGGGCTCAGTTGTCCATTTAACCACTCAGCCTGTCACTTCCGGGTGCGCACCTCTCGTAGTCCATAGGCCGCTGTCTATACGGGTTGGTATTGCCTCAGTGGATCAGGTGAATGCCCGTCATTGATGGTCGCAGGACGGTTCGTTCGGTAAATCCTGGGGGGCATCTTGGAGACGAGCTGAGGGTTTTCACCCGTACATCGTATCCGCTTGCGCTCCAAATGACTGTAGCAGCGGTATGCTAAATATAACCCTCAAACCGCTTTGAGCAATTAACTACGGCAGGCCGAACCTCATAGGCCATCGTAGTTGCAGGAGGTACGCATGCGCATGTAAGTAGATTTAGCGCAGCCGAAGCCCAATTGGATTAGTTGTCTTGGATCAAACTCGGTGTGGAAGGAAAATGCTCGATTAAAGGCTGCTTGCTACCTTGGCATCGTGACTCGGCTTGAGTGCTACAATGATCCCGCGGTTCACACTGGAATTTCATTCCACAAGGTACACCATGCCATAAATATCAAAGGATAGCAATCAAACTAAAAGCAACGAGCTCTAGTACTGCGGTTAAACGGAATGTGGCGTGATCTGGTCGTGCCGTTCACGTGTGATAGGAGCCTGAACTCAGTAAGGCGCTTCCTTCAGGCAACCAGAACTGCCATGATTATAGAAGCAGCGATGCCGCCTTCTTTTCGAATAAACGACGGGTTAGGGAATTCCGGTCATAAAAACCACTCATTGCGGTCGCCCAACGTTAACCATGAGATCCGGCGAATTATCCAGTGAGGTCGAAGTGCAATTAAAACTAACCAGGAGTCCGATGCTACCCCAATCTCATCTGTTGTGCGCAGTAAAACAAAGGGCGAGATATCTATGTCTTACTGTCTGAGCTTCAGTATAGGCCAGCCACCGGCGCCAATCCGGTTAGACGATCGAGTCATCGGTTCCCGGTAGAACGCTTTAAGAATAATCTAACACTCACTGCCTTGAAGGTGGGATTTCTGAGTCAGTGGTTACGGTCAGTACACCGGAACATAACCCTATATTCTGCGGTTGCCTTTTGCATCAGACTTTTGAATTGAGTTGCCGAGCAAACCTGTCTCCTCGGCTGGGAGTATCGTTCGCCATTACAACTCCTGTAGTTAGTGCGAACTTCCGGCTCAAGCGTTCACGCCGTGTTGACTGGACGCTACCAAACGCACTGGACCCATTTGGTTCACCTACTGTTGGAGAGCTTCCGTATAAGACTGTCCTCCATTTTGGATCACTTGGCGTGTACTGTGGCATTGACCATGTACGCGTATCAGTTTGCTTCCTTCTAGGGATGCGTTGATTGATGCAAGGATGTTTAATCCCACAGCTGCCAAGCGTCACGGTGTTTCAATAATATCGAGTTGAGTTGACTGGAAGGCCTTCAGAATTCAATGGACACAACTCTGTTTCAGTGACGACTGCTGAATGAAGGTGAAAGAAGCCATGCTCACGCCTTTTGAAGTCATCTTCCTGAGGTTGTGGTACATTACGATTGACACTCCATTTCGTCACGATCAATAGCTCCGGTAAATGCTAAGGAGACCCATACTATCAGCAAACGACTAGTTCGAAGCGCACAGACTCATGAAACATGGAACTGTGAAGAGCTTAAAGATTGACAAAGCGTTGATGGGAATGTGGGAGGTGTTTTAAACGGGGAACAATCACACCCTATTCCACCTAATCCGAGGGGGCGGGTGTTAGCAAAACGATCTGCAAAAGGGGTGAGACTTCACTTCGTCCGCAATAGTCTTCTCGAGCACTGGGCTCTGAAGAACGGTTCAGCTGGCCCACACCAACTCAACCTCTGGAAGGACCACATGAACACCTACAGCTGTTCGCCATCGGCAACGGAAGTCAAATGTGGGGTTCTATTACTTCAGCGCAATGGTCCAGTCGGTTTGCATCCCAAATTTTTCAAATAACGTAGGAATTCCTTCTGGCTAGCCTGACTGCTCTACCCCAAAATATCCGATGTAAAATCAGAATGCCAGCAGAATAGAGGGCTTCGGTGGTGATTTTTAGATTCACAAAGCTTGTAAGAACATCGTGCAAAAACTACCAGAATCGTACCAGTGGTCATAGCTACTCAGGTGTTCTGATAACGTCTTACACAGGTTGATTCACACCTGTAAAGTGTACGGTTCCACTGCAAGACTGAATGAGATCGAGCAGAACCCTCATGCTTGTGGATGAACCGGTCGATGTGACAGATAATTTCGTCTATCCTTGCAGCTGTATACTTTCCGGTGGAATGGCGCAAGATAAAATCACTTCCCGAATTGGGAAGACCAGCTCAATTCCTGACGGGTGAGCTGATTTTATGTCTACAGCATAGGCAATGCAAGTTGGGGAAACCGCTCTGACCTTCCCTATCCGGATGATAATATCCTCTCCAGCCAAACAACCGGGTCTGTTACAGCCGCCCAGGTAGATATATCCGTCAGCTCTCTGGTTCATCCGCAAGCACAGGGTCCGGGTTCGATCTTATTCTGTTTTACCGCAGCATATTTGCAAATGTGGAGAGAATACTGAGCAGTAGGACGGGGCTATTTGCGTAATTCAGTACTTTTTTATTTTGATAGAAATATATCTGTATATCGTGTTTTTAACGCTGTCTTATTTTAGTGCACTTTATTGTTGGTCACGTTCCTTAATGATATAACGCTTCTTCGCGCTCTTTCCATTCTTCACCACGGTTTTCTTGCCTCAAGGTTTAATGACAGTTAAAGATCAGTAAGTGTTACCGGTATACTGTTGCAAGTGGTGATGGTAGTGATAGAATAAGTGTGAACGAACACCCTGGGAGCACTTTGATCCCACAGGCACCAGCATTTGGCATTGGGGTTTCGATGAACTGATCAATGAAAAAGTGGAGGGCAAAAGAGGTAGATAGCCCTGCACGACACTGCTGGATGTAGTGAATTCAGGCGGACTCTTGTTATACCCTTGCAAGCATTGTAGGACTTGGCCCACAGAGCTTCAAGAATGGCTTAGAATTTGTGAAGGTCATCCATGCCATAGTGTTCGACTGCCAACAGAATTAAAGACAACCTCCAGTCACGAAGAGACTGGACCTTACCGTGGTGTGGCGGTTTGCGTACCTTGGCGATCCATTGAGCTATACGGGGGTGCTGCCGCGATACCCACACGGTCTCTCATGCCAGGTTGGTCAATAGTCAGGGGTCTGACAAACAATCTCCTGGCCCTCCAGGTTGGGGGTTGGAACATGTGGCGAATTGTTCCGTGGAAATGATGATGCATTTGCATTTTCTCGCCAAGCACCACTGTTTTGAGCCAGAGGCTTTGGCTGAGGACCTTAATCGCCCTCCCATCTACGTGTGGGCGCCCTGAAAGTATCCCGGACCACGTACAACCACGACATTTACAACTAACAATACTCTCATGCCACACCGGCCATCGCTTGGTGCCATCAGCCGAGTCGCCTTACTTGCTGCATATAGCAGGGCGGGTAAGCGAAAACAGGCTACTGCTGACGCCCCCTTCTTTCTCTTTCACGCACGTTTTCTTCTCCACACTCCAACCCATCAATAACTCTCTCCTTGTAGGCCTAGCACTTAGGGCTGACGACTCCGTTCGTCTTGCCTCGGTTTGGAGCGCAATACCTGCTCGTCACATGGCGCCGACACCCTCGTGTATCTCTAAGTCAACCTTCAAGACTCGACACCCAGTCCACCTGGCCGCCTTCAGTGCCCGCACTCTGAAGCAAGCAGGACAACAAGCTGCTCTTGCACTAACACTTGACTCACTTGGCATTGATGTGTGCTGTGTCTCAGAAACGAGAATTCAAGATGCGAGCATAGTGATTGAGCTGACCTCTTCACTCGCTTCCGGCTGCGCACCTCTGGTGATCCAGAGGCTGCTGCGGCAGGATGTACAGGGGTTGGTGTCGTTCTAAGTCACCGAGTGGAAGTATCCTCGCTTGACTGGATACCTGTTCATAGTCGCCTCTGTACGGTTTGTCTGGCAACTTCTGTGAAGTAGTCTCACAAGCGGGAAGCTGTCTGTTTGTCGTGTCCGCTCATGTCCCAACTCACTGTAGTTCTGACGCCGTTTCACGACGCCCTGAATGCCCCGCTGCGGCGAGCTAAACGCTTAGATGTCGTGGTGGTTGCCGGAGATCTGAATCCACAAGTGGGTAGGTTTAGCCTATCTGAGACTCAATTAGGAGGCTGACATGGATTGGACTCGATACGTATGGACAATGGTGAACGATTGCTTCAGCTGTGTACTGTTCGCAGGCTGTTTTTATGCAGTACTTTCGAAGTAGCCGAAGTCGTCTTGCCACACGGTGTCTTCTGACAGCATACAGGCCACAAACTCAAATCGGTCACATTGCCATTAGCTATCGATTGTGCGGCTCAAAAACTGACTGCCGGTCGTTTTGGGACAGATTTGTGAATTTTAACCACGCACTCGTCCGCAGTCGCTTTTCTCTACGTTCTCCCGGGACGCGTAAGGTGCAGAGAAATCGCTTAGAAACTGAGAGACCGGCAGATCCGGATGTTAGACGAATTTACCAGGTCGTCTTCTAGAGTCTCTTCCAAACGCTCCACCATCAGATGTGAACGGGACGAGATTGCTACCTCTTTGCCTAGGGCTGTGAATTTTCCCTGTGACATAGCATTACCAGGCGCACGCAAGCACTGGATATCAGACCGGAAGGTGGCACTGCTAAAATCTCAGAGAACTAGTCCAGCCGCTCCCGAACATAACCTGGTGCGAAAAACTATCAGACGTCGAGTAAAAGTGAGTGTGCGATCCAACCTTGAAGTGTGGTGGACACGGAAAGCCAAGCTGATGGAAGAGGCCGAGAAAGCCGATAATGCCCGAAGATTGTTTCAGTTTATCCGTCCCCGGAAACCCTGTGAGCGAAACCATCAATCATCAGAATGGAACGACCATCTCGAATAAAGAAGAATGCCGTGACCGGTGGGCTGAATAGTTTCAACAACAACTGTCATGGCCACCAGCTGGCACTCATCTAGTGCCCACAAGTGAAGTAGAACCCTAGACGATGAGCGTGGAACCACCTACGGCCTCGGAGGTTTGCGACTGCATATGTTCTTTCAAGCGCCACTGAGTTCCTTGTCCGGACGACCTTCCAACCGCACTGTTCAAAGACGGAGGTGAATTCTTCAGTCAGCGCTTGTCTGGTCTGTTTGCTTGAATTTGGGAAAAGGAGTCCGTCCCAGACAACTGAGAAGAGTCGGTTATAGTGCCCATTTTCAAAAAAGGGACTCGTAGTGAGTGAGGTGACCATAGGGGTGTCAGCTTGGTCCCAGTCGTAACGAGACCGTTGGTGTCACTTGTGCTTCGTCGCCTTGTGGTGGCTCGTGAGACACTGACTTGAGAGCAGCAAGTGGAATTCCGGCCTGGTATGGGTTGCGTGGACCAAAACTTCACACTCTTTTAGGTGCCAGAACAATGCCATACGTATAAGCGACCCACAATTTTAGTATTCTTGGACTTCCAAGGCGCATTCGAACCGGTTGATCGGTCTGTTCTTCTTGAGACGCTTGCCCACCAAGGAATGACCATAATGAACCATGAATGAACGTAATACATTCTTTGTATTCTCAGACTTCCGGATGTGTGAGAGTATACGGAGGGCTCTCGAAAAAACTCCAGTACACAAAGCGGTGTCCCTCAGGGATGTCCACTCTCTCCATTCCGTTGTAATATCGTGATCGATGAAATAATGAGACAAACACTGGAAGGTCTCCAAAACCCTGGTGTTCAAATAGCTTGTGGACAAACCTTGTCGAGCTGGAATATGCAGACGACATCGTTCTCAAGTTCGAAGAGGAGGAGAAGGCGCAGGTGTTCTTGGATAAACTGACCAAAGTCATCCCATCCTTAGGTATGCACTTTGCGCCCAAATAGTTTGTCATGCTCGTGGACATGCAGTCACTAAACGTGGCATTTAAAATCGAGGAAGAGGTACTGTAAGTTACGGAACACTTTACGTATCTTGGAAGTTATTAGTTGTATTAGAGAGATGACCGACTTCTGACCTGCAGAGAGGTATGAAGATTACGAGACGCCTGGGTGCTGTCGGTGCTACTCGCCTTCCAGGATGGGGGCCACGTGATCCCCACTGCATCTGGTTGTAGAAACTACAAGATATGGCTGTCAACCGATGTCAGTGGCGTTCTTGTTGTCAGTTTCTATCCAGATTGCCTGAGTGAATGTCTGGAGGTGTATGCACCTCAGAATGATTGTAGTAGGCCAGCACTAAGTCCTCTCCCCGTCCACCTTTATTCTTTTCTTCACATTAAGGCTTTCAGTTAAATCGTGGTCGTACGGCATCGAAGCATCGGTGTTGAACACTGGTGTTACGCTGTCGATGGTGATCATGATCATGATGAGGACAATGATGGTGATGAAAGGCAACCTCGCAATCAAGAAAGTTGACCGTTGTTGATGCTTGAAATAGTGTTTCTCTGGGGAGGGGGGGTGTGTGAACTGAGCGTCTTATTGTAAGTCAGAGCCAACTTGATTTTTACGGAGCTGTTTCCCTGTATCAACTTATGGATGATAAACCCCGGAGGCACATTGAATGTTGCCTTTAACATGCCAATGTCATGATGGTTTGTACATAGTATTCTCCTACCCTTTGAAGGTGAAGATGACTTTCAATGTGCCCATTTCGGTTGTGGGCGCTTTAAATGAGATAGTCCGCACTTTATTTCTTCTCAGATGGTTACTTTAAACTCACACCCCATTCACTTTTATCCTTCCTCTAGATTTGCTAAAGTGTTATTCGAAGTACTCGGCTAATTTTTTAATCAGTGTCTTCGGGGATGAGTTAATGACGACTGCCTTCCTTTGAACTGTCAAACGAATCAGGTGACATGGAGCACGGCTGTTTCCAATTACAAAGACATTTTCCATCTCACGGGGTTTCTCTGTGCACCGGAGCTCTCGGTCCTTCCCTATACTCCCCGTTACTTGGCGTCTGAGGCATTTGGGTGCACCGTCATACTCTTCGCCTGGTGGTATGCTTTATCTCGTATCCTCCATGAATAGCGGTCCCGAAGATTCCCCACTGGTCAATGGTCGTACGGGAATTAGACTGAGATCTCTGAACGCTCTGACAGCCCTTAAAATTTTGCCACTCTTCATCCACGTTCTTATTACCAGTAATGAGTTGGTACATTGGAGAAAGCAGTTGAGCTGCTTGAGGTAGGTTCTACTGAGATGTGGCATGTATACATTATATATATATATATATATATATATATATATATATATATATATACTTGGGGTGAAA